AAAATCTGGTAAAGGGTATATGAGAGTTCTCTAAGCTACTCTTGTAACTTTACAGCAAAACCAAAATGCCATGGACAACAACATACAACACAACTGAATGACAAGGTATCCCTCACAAACCTCAAAACACAAAGAGGTGAAGAAAACTACAAACAGATAGAAGATCTGCATGGTATAAATTTGTGCCATGAGAAACTGAAAGAGATTAAGTGCTGGGATACCTGACTGGCTTTAGAACAGGAAAACCCCCAGGCATCTAAGAAGTTTTCACTGGAAAGTAAGGTGAGCCAATTTAAGAATAGCAGCTGGCACTGTAGGGTTTTGACAACTCCAAAAGCAAGGTAAGTGTCAGGATTGCAGACAAATTTAAAGAGGCTAGGGTAGTTGCCATCATAAACTCTTGAAACTAACCAGCTAGCATTATCACCAAGAGAAACTACTAGGGATAGAATCAAAATTCAGCCACATACACAGGAAAGAAGTCCACACTGGGAAAAGAGAGCCAAGAAATCTCAGACAGCAAGCCAACATAATGACACAGAAAAGAAACACTCTAAAATTAGAAAAACCACTCCTGGACAATGTTGTCATCTAAAAGTCCAAGAAAACTCACTTCACATCAAAATGAGCAACAGAAAAATAAAGGTCAAATCCCATTCAAAGTTGTTATAAAAGAAAACAAATAAGGAGCAACATAATTCCCAATAACCGAAAAAAAGCGTGCCCAAAAAGGTGCCTACAGAACAAAGCAAAACTACTATCTTCTGTCTCAAAACTAGTACTGAAAGACACCAAGCATGAAGAAAATTATGTAAGACATAAAAAGACTAACACAAATGTATTCTTCTAATTCAGAAATGACAATGAAGACTAAACACAAAAAAGGAACAAAAAAATAAACTAAAAGTTTTCCTCAAGAGAAATTTAAGGAACAAGGGGAAAATATTTAAAGTAAAAAAATTTTAAAAAGGAAAAAAAAGAAATGGGAAAAAAGGATGCATCAACTATTCAACATAAGCAAAAGACAATTCAACCTGCATCTGTGGGTAATACAAGTCTCTGAAAAATAGGACAGAAGGGGAACAGTACAAATGCTTGAAACTAAAACGCAAGGCAAATAAAATGTTTCACTATATGAAAGAAAACACACCACTCTTGAAATGATCGACCCATAACAAACCACACTGAGATGTATTCCAGTAAAACATCTGGACTTTAAAATGAAAACATGCATTGGACATGTAGGCAGAAATGACAAAAGACTTAAAAGGTAAAGAAATTAAGAGTATCAATAAATTTGTCAAAAGCAGCACTTTGTGCAAAAAGAAAATAAAACATTTAAGATACTTAAGTAAAGAAAATATGATCCTAGCATTTATAGTCAACAAAACTGACTTCACACTCAATTATAAAGGGCATGAGAATGCAAGGATCATCATCTCTGGAGTCCTTCCTGAAGAATCAACAACAGCACAGGCTTCAGACAACAAAAAGGGCTAAGGACTTTGAAATTAGTATTAATGGTAACTACTAAGCACACACTTACTGTAGAAATAAAACTAAATGATGTACAGTACTAGAGGTAGTATCCACAGGAATCAGACAACACAGAGAAATAAAAGGCATCCAAATTGGTACGGAAGAAGTTAGGTCACTGTTTGCAGATGACATGATATTGTACATAAAAAACCCTAAAGAATTCACTCCAAAACTACTAGAATAACTGAATTCACCAAAGTTGCAGAATATAAAATTAATACACAGAAATCTGTTGCATTCCTATATACTAACAGTAAGCTAGCAGAAAGAAAAATCAGGAAAACAATTTCATTCACAATTCCATCAAAAAGAATAAAATACCTAGGAATAAACCTAACCAATGAAGTGACAGACATATACCCTGAAAACTACAAGACACTCATGAGAGAACTTAAAGACACCAATAATGGAAATACATCCCATGCTCATGGATAGGAAGAATTAATATTGTCAAAATGGCCATCCTGCCTAAGCAATCTACAGATTCAATGAAATCCCTATCAAAATACCAACAGAATTCTTCAATGAACTAGAACAAATTGTTCTAAAATTCATACAGAACCACAACAGACCCCAAATAGCCAAAGCAATCCTGAGAAGGAAGAACAAAGCTGAGGGGATTATGTTCCCCAACTTCAAGCTCTACTACAAAGCCACAGTAATCAAGACAGTTTGGTACTGGCACAAGAACAGACTCATAGATCAATGAAACAGACTAGGAGCCTAGATATAAACCCACACATATATGGCCAATTAATATACAATAAAGGAGCCATGGATATTCAGTGGGGAAATGACAGCCTCTTCAACAACTGCTGTTGTGAAAACTGAACAGCTACATGTAAGAGAATGAAACTGGATCACTGTCTAACCCCATATACGAAAGTAAACTCAAAATGGCTTAAAGACCTGAATGTAAGTCATGAAACCATAAATCTTAGAAGACAACATAGGCAAAAATCTCTTAAATATAAAGAGGAGCAACTTTTTCCTGAACACGTATCTCCTCAGGCAAGGGAAACAAAAGCAAAAATGAACAAATGGAACTACATCATGCTAAAAAGCTTCTGTACAGCAAAGGACACCATTAGCAAAACAAAAAGGCATCCTACAGTATGAAAGAATATATTTTTAAATGACATATCTGACAAGGGGTTAACATCCAAAATACATAAAGAGTGCACATACATCAACAGCAAAAAAGCTAAAAAAAAACCCATTAAAAAATGGGCAGAGGATCTGAACAGACACTTCTCCAAAGAAGAAATTCAGATGGCCAACAAAGCACATGAAAAACTGCTCCACATTACTAATTATCAAAGAAATGCAAATTAAAACCACAATTAAGTATCACCTCATACCAGTTAGGAAGGATGGCCAACATCTAAAAGACAAGGAACAAAAAATGCTAGCAAGGATGAGGAGAAAGGGGAATCATCCTACACTGTTGGTGGGAATGTAAATTAGTTCAGCCATTGTGGAAAACAATATGGAGGTTCCCCAAAACACTAAAATACAAATACCATTTGACCCGGGAATTCCACTCCTAGGAATTTATCCAAAGAAAACAAGATCTCAGATTCAAAAAGACATATACACCCCTATGTTTATCACAGCACTATTTACAACAGCCAAGATATGGAAGCAACGTAAGTGTCCATCAGTAAATGAATGCATAAAGAAGATGTGGTACATATACACAGTGGAATACCATTCAGCCATAAGAATACAACAAATCCTATCATTTGCAACAACATGGATGTAGCTAGAGGGTTTTATACTCAGTGAAATAAGCTACATGGAGAAAGACAAGTACCAAATGATTTCACTCATTTGTGGGGTATAACAAAGTGAAACTGATGGAACAAAACAGCAGGAGACTCACAGACTCCAAGAGACCAGTGCTTACCAAAGGGGAGGGGGTGGGGAGGGAAACAGAAGGGGATTAAGGGGCATTATGATTAGCACACATAATGTAGGGGGGTCACCAGGAAGGCAGTATATAGCATGGAGAAGACAAGTAGTGACTCTAAACTATCTTACTATGCTGATGGACAATGACTGCAATGTGGTGTGTGTAGGGGGCCTTGATAATATGGGTGAATGTAATAGCCACAGTGGTGTTCATGCGAAACCTTCATAAGATTGTGTATCAATGAGACCCTTAATCATAAAAAAAGAGTAAGAAAGAAAATAAAGAATCTAAAGGTTTGGGAATCCTTCCCAGAGATCAGTAGGCAGTGTTTTCTTCTAATTAGATAAAAGGAACATCCCCAAATGACCCATGGGAAAACTATTTCTCCAGTCTGGAGACTTTAATTCTCTGGAAATCAGCCCAAAGACTTTACCTGGGTGGAAGATGGAGATAGGACCCCCTTCAAAAGATCACACTTGTCATCTTTACTAATTTGATAAACAGAAAGATGAAGTATTTCTTTAATTATTTGCAGGGCTGCACCTATGACTCAAACCTTGTACTACTTCTTTAATAAAAACCTATGCATGAAACATTTTCTTTCCCTATAAAGGGAAGGCCTAGTCCAGAAAGTCTGAATTTTTGAATAATAAAGTCTTTCTTGATCTTTTGTAAATACTATCAGGGTAAATGTATTTAGGAACAAGCACTGAATAGCAGAGATGTCTCTTGATAGCAGTGAAGTACAAGACTAATGCTATATTGAAAAATAAAATGCAATGATTAAGTAGAGTCCACACCATGTCCCTTAACATCAACAGAGCACTCGGATGTGAATGATCATAAAGAAGTACCTTAAAATTTTTTAAAAAGTACCTGAAATTGGCTATTATAGTCCAATCATCAATCTGAAAATATGATGACTGCATAGGTTTCTTTACTTCCAATATTGCCTCTGAAAAAAAGTTAGCTAATCTAGTCAGTAACATGTACAGAAAGCTCAATTTTGTACCAAGGACTATGTAAAGCTTTTTACATGGATTGTATCATTTAAATAATACAAATAAATTGAGAAAGGGACTATTTCATGTTAAGTATTTTATACAAATGCATCTTATTAATTTAAAGCCATTCTAATTCTAAGATTAAAGCACTCTTTCCAGGTAACAACAATTGAAAGAAAAGGCAGCTTTTTGTACTCTCTTGTAATTCAGGTACGTCTGTACTTCAAAATACTACTTCTCCATATATCGGATTATTGTATTGTATTATGTTCCAGGGACATGATTAGATCAATAGTAAAGAAAAGTACACAGCCTAGATGCTGACAGGAGCAGAAAAAAGTTCAGGATTAATACTTAAGAAAGAACATTCAACTATACCTAAATCAATGACATTTCCTCTTTTCTTTTACACACTCACTAACTACTTTTTAAAAACAAGGTTCAAAATCCTGATGTTTCCCGCAAAAGAGAACCTTAAAATGTACGTGCTCCCTTACTTTCTGTATTTCTAAACAAGGCAAACGAGGTCCACAAAAACTTACCTGCACTACTTGTTTCTGTAGTTGTGCTGCCTGTATGGCCGAAACCTGTGTTTTCTCCCGAGCACCTCGGGAACGTTCACTGCTCACCGAAGTCATCATATACAGTATATACAAAGTAATGTATGTACAAAATAGAAAATCTGCAAGAAAGCAGGCATGGTCAGCAAAACTCCCAAATTACAATACTAGGCAAGGATAAAATTCAGAGAAAGGAGGAAACATGAGATTAAAACATGAAGGTTCTCTAAAATAAAAATTCTCAAAGAACAGCCCATTAGGATTTTAAACTTTCCTGGCAGTAATTAAGCCTATTTTACTAATGAAAAGTCTATGGTTTATGATTACAGCAATTCTCAAAATCTCAAATACCACCAATTTTAACCAGCAATTATTTCACCACAGTATGTAATTACTACTACCAATATATAGCTTTACTTGCCTCTTTTCATTTGCAGTTGGTATTTGAGCCCAAAGACAACATTCTGCCAAAACAAAATTTTACCTGGCAATAAGCCACTTTAAAATGTGCTGTCCAGGAGAAAACTATACCTAAAGGCAAAAACCACTTATAAGGAATAAATCTTCCAAGGAGAAAAAAACAACTGTGAATATAGCTTTCATTTATTTGACAATTATTTATTGAATAGCTACTATGGGCCAAGCATATAACTAAATATGTCATGAAACCATGTTTACCACAATGAAATACCACTCTACATCCACTATGATGGCTATTATACCAAAAAACTTTAAGTAGAAATTGAGGATGCAGAGACACTGAAACCCTTGTATACTGTTGGTGGGAATGTAAAATAGTACAGCTGCTATGGAAAAGAGTATGGCAATTCTTAAAAAGAAAAAAAAATCAAAAATAGAATAACCAGGGATTAAAGATGGGAGCATGAGGTGAAACAGAAAGCTCCTCCAAAAATCACATATAATACGGAAATATAGCAAATACATCTAATCCTGAAAAAGCAACAGGAAAGAAGGCTGTAGAAGACTGCCTAAGCCTGGGTAAAACAGCAGAAATCAAGGAAAAGGGTAAAGTTCCAAAGCCCTAATCCAGAGGGACCCAAGCCCTTCCCGAACTCCAGCTCACCAGAGGGAGTAAGAGAAACACAGCATGGAGGGGTGGAGGCCTATGACTCCTGAACACCCAGCCCTGGAGATGTGCTCTGAGAGCACAAACCAACATAGTGCTCTGAAGACCAGTGGGGTTGGAAAGCTAAAACAGGCAGAGTACTTGGAGAGACTGAGATTCCCCAGCTGCTTCTGGAAAACATTTATCCACAACCGCCACTCTGGGACAAAAGAAAAGCAGGCAGTCTGAGAAACTTCATAACAAGAGGGCTGCTAAAGCGTCAAAAATTGCACAGAGCTTGATGCTCAGGAGAAAGGACAGATGGACAAAATTGTCCAGGCGCACTCTGCCCAGCAGGTTGGAAGCCTTCAGGAGCTTCAGGCGCTCTATTCCTCTGGCTGGCTACACAGCTATGAGGCCCCTCACCACAATACACAGCCTGCTGCTCCTTCCTCCCAACAGGAACCTGCTGGCAAACCATCTTCCCCCACCACTTCACCAGGACAGCAGGAGGGTGGCCCTGCCTACAGCAGCTACAAGTACAAAGCATAGAGGCTTCTCCCTGCGCGCTTCGCCCACTGCTCCTGGCAATGGAGACAGGCACTACAGCCAGCAAGCAGGGAACTGCTCTTTCTTCCCAACAGGCACCAGTGCCACTCGCCTGCAAACCCCACCATCGCTTCAGGGACTGAGCAACTCCAGGAAGTAGAGCTTCTGGGCACTAGAGGGCATCACCTACAAATATGAAATATCAAAGGAACCAGTTCAAACCAAAATTCTACAAAGACCAGAAAGATGGACAAATGAAACTAAACTCATCAATCTTCCCTGAAAGAGATTACAAAATAAAGATCATAAACATGTGGGGGCGGAGCCAGGATGGCGGCGTGAGTAGAGCAGCAAAAATCTCCTCCCAAAAGCACATATATACATGAAACTATAACAAAGACAACTTTTCCTAAAATAGAGACCAGAGAACACAGGACAACTTCCAGACCACATCCACACCTGCGAGGACACAGCACCTCGCGAAGGGGGTAAGATACAAGCCCCAGCCCGGCGGGACCCGAACACCCCTCCCCCTGGCCCCTGGCGGGTGGAGAGGAGTCAGCANACAAAGACAACTTTTCCTAAAATAGAGACCAGAGAACACAGGACAACTTCCAGACCACATCCACACCTGCGAGGACACAGCACCTCGCGAAGGGGGTAAGATACAAGCCCCAGCCCGGCGGGACCCGAACACCCCTCCCCCTGGCCCCTGGCGGGTGGAGAGGAGTCAGCAGGGAGGAAAAGAGAGCCCAGGACTGCTGAACACCCTGCCCCAGGATTCAGGACCAGATTGCAGACAGAGTGCATGCATGGGGTCTTGGATACTAGGGAAAAAGGGGGGCAGGACCGGTGAGCAGGTGTCTGAGGCTGACACCGGAGAACAAAGAAACGGGAGTGGTTTTTTTTCAGCGAGTGCTTTTTGGAAGCCTTAAAGGGACAGAGACCCCAATACTAGGGAAACAGGGCAGCAAGACTGGTGAGCGGGTGCCTGAGACCGGCGCCTGAGGACAAGGAAAATCGTACATTTCTCCCTTTTTTTTTGGTGAGTGCTTTTTGGAAGCCTTAAAGGAACAGGGACCCCAATACTAGGGAAACAGGGCAGCAAGACCGGAGAGCGGGTGCCTGAGACCGGTGCCTGAAGACAAAGAAAATCGTGCGTTTTTCCCTTTTTTCTTCTCTTTATTCTTTTTTTTTCTCTTTTGTTGTTGCTGTTGGTGTTTTGGTTCAGAGAGTGCTTTTTGGAAGTCTTCAAGGGGCAGGACAGGACACATAGCCCAGAGGCAGGGAATCTGGGGATCTCTGGGCACTCTAATCCCCTGGGCAACAGGGAGCAGAGAGGCCCCTTATGGAGATAAATAGCCTCCTGGCCGCTCCCCCTCCAACGGGGTTCCACCATTTTGGAGGGGCAGCCCCAGTCCGGCCACGCCCACAGCAACAGCTGAGTTAAACTCCAAACCAACCGGGTAGGTAGCTGAAGCCCGGTCTGCGCACAGCTCCCAAGCATAAGCCATTAGAGGACGCTATTCTACCAGGAGAGGAAGGCCACAAACCAAAAAGAAGGAAAGCTCTCCCAACTGTCACTCGTACCAGCTCTGCAAACTATCTCTATCACCATGAAAAGGCAAAACTACAGGCAGACAAAGATCACAGAGACAACACCTGAGAAGGAGACAGACCTAACCGTCTTTCTGAAAAAGAATTCAACATAAAAATCATGAACACGCTGACAGACATGCAGAGAAAAATGCAAGAGCAATGGGATGAGATGCAGAGAAAAATACAAGAGCAATGGGATGAAGTCCGGAGGGAGATCACAGATGTCAGGAAGGAGATCACAGAAGTGAAACAAACCCTGGAAGGATTTATAAGCAGAATGGATAAGATGCAAGAGGCCATTGAAGGAATAGAAACCAGAGAACAGGAACGTATAGAAGCTGACATAGAGAGAGATAAAAGGATCTCCAGGAATGAAACAACACTAAGAGAAATATGTGACCAATACAAAAGGAAAAACATTCGTATTATAGGGATACCAGAAGAGGAAGAAAGAGGAAAAGGGATAGAAAGTGTCTTTGAAGAAATAATTGCTGAAAACTTCCCCAAACTGGGGGAGGAAATAATCGAACAGACCATGGAATTATACAGAACCCCCAACAGAAAGGATCCAAGGAGGACAACACCAAGACACATAATAATTAAAATGGCAAGGATCAAGGACAAGGAAAGAGTTTTAAAGGCAGCTAGAGAGAAAAAGGTCACCTATAAAGGAAAACCAATCAGGCTAACATCAGACTTCTCAACAGAAACCCTACAGGCCAGAAGAGAATGGCATGATATACTTAATGCAATGAAACAGAAGGGCCTTGAACCAAGGATACTGTATCCAGCACGACTATCATTTAAATATGATGGTGGGATCAAACAATTCCCAGACAAGCAAAAGCTGAGGGAATTTGCTTCCCACAAACCACCTCTACAGGGCATCCTACAGGGACTGCTCTAGATGGGAGCACCCCTAAAAAGAGCACAGAACAAAACACACAACATATGAAGAATGGAGGAGGAGGAATAAGAAGGGAGAGAAGAAAAGACTCTCCAGACAGTGTATATAACAGCTCAATAAGCGAGCTAAGTTAGGCAGTAAGATACTAAAGAAGCTAACCTTGAACCTTTGGTAACCACGAATCTAAAGCCTGCAATGGCAATAAGTACATATCTTTCAATAGTCACCCTAAATGTAAATGGACTTAATGCACCAATCAAAAGACATAGAGTAATAGAATGGATAAAAAAGCAAGACCCATCTATATGCTGCTTACAAGAAACTCACCTTAAACCCAAAGATAAGCATAGACTAAAAGTCAAGGGATGGAAAAACATATTTCAGGCAAACAACAGTGAGAAGAAAGCAGGGGTTGCAGTACTAATATCAGACAAAATAGACTTCAAAACAAAGAAAGTAACAAGAGATAAAGAAGGCCACTACATAATGATAAAGGGCTTAGTCCAACAAGAGGATATAACCATTCTAAATATATATGCACCCAATACAGGAGCACCAGCATATGTGAAGCAAATACTAACAGAACTAAAGAGGGAAATAGACTGCAATGCATTCATTGTAGGAGACTTCAACACACCACTCACCCCAAAGGATAGATCCACCGGGCAGAAAATAAGTAAAGACACACAGGCACTGAACAACACACTAGAACAGATGGACCTAATAGACATCTATAGAACTTTACATCCAAAAGCAACAGGATATACATTCTTCTCAAGTGCACATGGAACATTCTCCAGAATAGACCACATACTAGCTCACAAAAAGAGCCTCAGTAAATTCCACAATATTGAAATTCTACCAACCAATTTTTCAGACCACAAAGGTATGAAAGTAGAAATAAATTCTACAAAGAAAACAAAAAGGCTCACAAACACATGGAGGCTTAACAACATGCTACTAAATAATCAATGGATCAATGAACAAATCAAAATAGAGAT